TTAGGCTGAAAATGTTTTCTGAAGCCATCAACAGACAAGATGACACAATGTACATCGTTTCATTTAGACAGGTAAGTTAATTAGAACAATTGATAATTTTATCTTCATAAAATTGTACTTTAGAAAACTCGATCAGTTAGTCATGATCATTAGAACAACGGATAATTGTATCTTCATTTGAACTCTAGAACACTTGATCGCCAGTCATGATCATTAGAACAACTGATCATTGTGTCTTCATATGTACTCTAGAACACTTGATCGTTTAGTCATGATTATAAAAGCAAAAGATCGTTACGATTGTAAATTGTTTTTCATAAAAAATGTCTCTGTTTTAGGATCACTTGGTATTTCCAGCAACTAAAAGCAATGTGACACAAAGGCCAAAAGTATCTCTCATGATGATGGCACCTTCAAATGGTAAGTTCACTTTTAAACTCCTCTTCAGGCATTAATACGAATCACGGGCTTCCTGTCTTTTTTGGGAGTCAAAAGTCACTCGTCCCTATCGGCCAAGATGACCGTTACAAAAGAAGCCCTAAGGAGGAAAAAGAGTTGCCTCGAGAGGACGCTATTTCACTTTCCTTAAAGAGATACAAAAGAGATTAATTCGCTATTGTTTATTTATATTTAGATACTACTGTAAATGTCACCAAAGGCGAAGAATCAATATCCATGATTCAAATCGAYTGTCAAGTTATGGACACAAAACATATCAACATCAAAAAATCAAGTCTTCCTTCGCCATTCGTCGATAGCTCGTACCGGCCGTCAAGCTCTAATGGCTATACTCAGCCATCAGGTGGACATACTCCTTCGATACCCACTCGTAATGCCAAGTAATTCACTGTGTAAATAAAAAGATCAGAGCGAGGACGTTATACCCGTGAAACWAATGTAATGGTTTAATATTCCACGGATTTATGAAACTATTGTTGTTTTAATAGATAAAACGATATCTAATTAGATATGTAACAAAAATGGTCATTATTGGACATTGTACGTACGCATTTGTTCTCTATTTATTTACCAATATCCGTGCCTTTGGGGAAAGATAAGGCTCATTATTTGACCAATCAGAGCGTGCGTCAATCARTCTATACTGCTAAGTTATTACCCACAKTACGCTGCGTCAATAATCAGTTTTATGACCCATGTTAATGTTCGGTATATCGAAAGGTTGTACATGTATTTGGTTTGTAACTCTATCAGTTTATTCAGTAGCTGGAAGTTTTTAGAATAATAGTATTATAATGACAGTTGGTCAACGAAAGCATGCAGTCATATAAATATTATTTAACTTATACAAGAATAAAGAAAGAAACAGTATATATAGCTATTTCAAAAAAGGTTGTCGGATAAAATGGCGAATGTCAATGGTCGAACGGCGATTGCACGACCGAAAGTAGTCATGGGTTTTGGTAGTTGAAGGGCAATAACAACTGATTTTTACTATAWGATGGTCCGTGGTAAACATTGACAACATTTAATCTCCATTTCTATGTAAGGTGAATCTAATAAGTGAAATTTTGTTTATCAAAACAGTGTAACCATAACTCCTTTCGATCGTGCAATCTCCCGTCGACAATCGCCGTTGGCCGTTCTCCCCGACAACGCTTTTTGAAATAGCTGTATGTAGATTGGTTTGAATAGAAAAGTACGTTATATGACAATGATCTTATAAGATSTAATAAGATCTAATATTTTATCATAGATTCCTAACCCATTGRCTTCCTTTTTATGACAACTTCATAACAAGGAAAAACCGTATCCAGCTTAAAGTAAAATTTTTATATTCATGCAAACTTCAAGTTCATTGAYAGTTTGCTCATGACACGTTTTGTAGTTGCTGTTTTATAGCTATGCTTATCATGTAACGATCTTTAAAAGCTCTTTTACTCCATTTATAAACTCAAAAAGAATTTGTAAAATATTTTAAGTCACTTGCAMATAATATTAATATAGATATATAGAAAATAGAGAATAAAGTTTACATTGAAAATGACTTTTGTCTTTTTTCATGTTTCACAAATTGCGTCTTTTTGCCTGCTTGATTTTTGTGGTTACTCGTATTCTACTACAGATCGCACACAGATCGGATTTTTCCGGAATAATTTCGTCAATCGCTCGTGAACTAGATCGTGCGTTTTATATTGTCATCTTTTTTGTCCGACAGATTTAGTTTACTTGCTATGTTTCCACCATTGCTCAAACATGTATATTGTGGGCGTAWTCACAAGGCAAAAAGAAGCATGTTTTACCCTTATGCTTGCGGTTTTACGTTTATGATTTCGTACCTCAGTTCGCCTTACGGCGTTACGCGCCAGCGAAAAAAAAGGTTTCAAGAATCAGTCACGTAGCAGTCTGAATCAATGTTTAGGTTCGATCAGGGTCAAAGCTCTCGTTRTACTTTACGTGCAATTAGGAGATCAACCGATATTTAGTGCTGAAACCTAAAAGCAATTAAGAAATGATATAATTTCTATTCACACAAAAAAGCGCCATACTGTCCTTTTATTGGACGATTATGACATCACGCTTCAGAAATTAACATACTCCTTAAAAAATTATACGWAATTTGCAATTTTTCGAGTGTTTATCTGAACAAATTCGCGTTGTTTTGATTCTGTTAATATTCAAGTTTTGCGTCGCTATATTTTGTTGTATGTCTGGATAATTTGGATGYTRAAAAATGTGTTTTTGACTTTTGCTTTGGACGCCTTCAAAAAAAGAAAACATCGAATGCTCGAATAAGCGCAAAATATACACTATCCACAAATACTAGATCTGGAATCTTTATTTGTACATTTACTTTTGTCCCTTCTTTACGTGCGCTAAAGACTTGCTTTGTTTGACGATGGATTAGTAWTTTTTTATGCTGTAGTCAGACAGGATTTAATATTCTAAAACTCGGCAGGCACGATATTTTACTAAAAACATTTAYCAACSCTTGCGTGCCATTGGCCTTTGTAGGCTGACCGCAAAAACTATATTAGCAACATGAACGTTTAGTGCCTTTACTTCGCTTCTTTTCCAAAGAAATATTCACAGTACATATCCACATGTTAAAAGCTAATGCTCTAGCTATAAATAATCCATCAAATATAAAAAAATAATTTATTCTGCGATGAAACGAAAACACTCTCTTGAATTCTAATTTTTATAAATGTTTACTTTTTCAATTAGGTTRTTTTTTGCGCATTTTCAATGCGACTTTCTCCTTGTACTCGCCTCTAAAAAGTTTTCTAATTCTTGCTTGTAGGATACACAGTTTGTATACTCCTGACTCCCTTGTGGGCTCAGTGTTTTGGCGTTCAAATCTGAATGTAATGGTACAATAATATGTTCGATAATGGCCGGTGCTTTATTCCTTGGTACAGGCATGGTCTGAATGTCTTTCCCTACGACTATCGCAATGTTTACAACAAACTCATGAACCGTTGAGTAGTCCCTGACTGTTTTAAGAAGAACTTTCTGGTACTTAGTATAAGCACCTTCTAACTGAATTTCTTTTACTGATGAATACGTCGGCTCGTTCCTCCGGCGCTTAAAGTAATCCAAACCTGTTTTTATAAATAATTCGGCATCTTTCGGGGAAAGAAGTATTAACATTACAGCACCTCGTCCTTTGGACATAAAACCCTCACGAGCAATCTCTGATAAATAAAGGTGAATGTGGACATCGTGTTTACTCAGACGAAGTATGGATTTCATATGGCAATCGATTGTTCCATATCTACACACCGTTCGGTGMTCTGGCCAGTGYTGCGCTTTACACTCCGGTGAGCAATAATGWGTRAAACACGAGGAACAGGACTTGAAAGTCAACTCTACAATTCCCAATAACTCCTCTTCTTTGCGACATGATGGATTCTCGCACACAAAAATCTTTTTTTCCATCATCCTCGGTGGTTTGGGTGGAATCATCCGCGGAGGTTTCGGCGGAGCTTCGCCGGAGGATTGCTTAGSTTGGTTTCGTCTGGGAAGAGTATTGGATTTTTCCTCGATTTCAATTGCCAGAGCATTGGAGTTCAAATCAAGATTTAAAGAATTCATCCTTAGGATATCTCTGGGTCGAGGTTTGATTGTGATTTCTTTCGTTGGATGTTCGATGCCATTGCAATTGGGCGCCGACTGCGCCATACCTATTTCTGTTTTTAGCTTGACTTTAGAAGGAGAGACCGGCTGGATTTCGCTGTACTCGGTCGTACGATTCGACCGTCCACTGCAAGGCCCTTTTCCGACGCAGATATACATGTTAATCAATTTTTAGATCATCTGCTAGAAGAAAACGGCTGGCATTAACCTTATAACCTGAGACYAAACTCGGGCTGTTGTGGGAGAATATTCTGATCGTGTTTAACAGCTGTTTTGGTGTGAATATGAAATCGACGAAGTCACTCTGATTGGCAGCACTAATTGAGACATTATCACATGTCAATCAYCTCTCTCCACAGCAAACAACAAATAAACTTGTGAGGCGTGAAGCGAGTGTGAATAGACAGTCAAAGCAGTGATTGTCCAAAAGGTGATTGTTAGTGAATCAAATTTCCAAAGGCCAAGCAGTGAAGTCAACAATAACACACCTTTGTCAGTTTTGATTCTAGTAATTTCGGGCTTCTACTATTGTTGTAAAAAGACGCGGATCAAGAGACTTAAGGGATCATTGAACTGTCAGCGTCTACAAATAAAAATCACAGCCAACAAACAACAAACCTGTGCTATGTAAATGAGCCCAACGCGTTGACGCGGCAGTCACTTTATGAAATATACCTCTTGTGACGTCATGCGCGTAACGACCGCATTGACGTCATAGYCAACCTGGATTTGTGACTCTTCGAGTGTTGAGTRTATAAGTGAGTAGTCTACTTGGCGACAAAAAAAGTTGATTTTAAATTACTAATGTTTTCCATGATAACTGCAAAATTTATGCGCATTCAGACTGCTGTTCATATTTAATTCAAGTTTTCATGCAGGCAGATTCGCTCTTTGTTATTCTAAAATCGCAGAAAAGTATGAATATACCTAACATGTTAATCAATTTTCTATTTCATTCGCGGTCAATAAATGTCATGCAATCGATTTTTTCTCAGACCATGTCACGCATGTTTCACTATCAAAAAACGCGCGCTTTACGACAGATCCACAGTTCAACATCCTACAACTTGTCGTACAGGATCGTAGATGCTACGTCTCGTGGCACGCAACAATCGTTCTGTGTAAATCGGCTTTAAGTCGTAGTTTTTGCTCCTCCTTGGTAAGACCTTTGCGACAAAACATCTAAACTTAGGACTGGGAATTATTCTAGTTTTACTGAACCCCGTCTTTCAAGATAAGAAAACATCTGTTTTTGAAGCGTGTTGTTCATGAGTTTTCACCGGATACAGGTTTWAGGCTCCCGTGCCGTTTCGCGTAAAATTCACGTCATGATGACTTTACGCAAATCCTGCGCGTAAATGAACACTTACTGATATTTCCATTCCTGTTTTGATCATTTCTCTGCGTTTTACGTCCCGCAGATCATCGTTATTTATGTAAGTCATGACATGTAACATAAAATCGAAATTGCAAAAATTGAGCTGAATATATTTTTAAACTACATCTTAGTTTCTGACCCCTGATGAAAACTATAGTGATCGTTTTTGAAAGATTTTTAAGCATCGACGTGTAGGATTCGCGTGAGGTTGACGTAAAATGGGTGTATACATAGGCGTTATTTTTGGCACTGCGCTAATTTTAGCCAACGACAAACTGGCTGAACTTTTCAGGTATCTATGTTATATATAGACACTAATCTAAGTACCGCTGCCTGATTAAGTCTCTAACATGAAGCTACTTCATCATTTTCGTCTCGCATTTTTTTCTATGATTCACTAGCGCACGATTTCAAAAAGCATTATCTAACCATCTGATGAACAAAGCCTGAGGACAGCCAGCATAATTGCTCTTCAAAATAAAACTATCAGAGGTAACCTCCGTTGCAGACGCCTCTAGTTCCCTGAATGACTGAGCGAGCAGGAATTTTATCAGAATTCCCTGGTTAGAAKCGATCACTAGCTGGAATCAGATTTACAAAACGATTCTACTAGCGCGCAGGGACATCTCAGAAGMATGTCATCATTGATCATTACTTGCAATAAAAAAAAAGAAACTTGTCTGCACAGAAGCAGATGGAATGGATATTGTACATAGGTAATAACATATTTCAATGYATAATTGAAAACTGTACGAAAGAGTGCAAAGCGCGGAAAGAAAACAAAGAAAGAATACTAGAGGATGATGATAATGATTAAAGATGAATAAGAAAAACATGAAAATTGTTGCAAAAAAAAAAGAGAAAACGAACTATCATTCTCGGTTTTCACTTTTTGGCAATACCGCTGATCATTATGTTAATTGGCTCAACAACTCGGTTGCTAACGAACGGCGTCGATCATGCGAATTACGCGTGTTGGAATTTCATAACTTTCCATCTCATTTTGTCTAGAAGACTTCTTAAAAAACACCACTATTCAACATCTTGTGAATTTATAGCAAATGCTGAATACATGGACTAAATCGATGAAGTAATTACGACAAATCATGCTTTATTTATGAAGTAAATCAAAGCTGAGCTCAAATTATCCCTGCATGGCTTCGGTACTGACATGAAGCTGCTGGTCTCTCAAAGAATGGCTCCAATAGAAAGCTGATTCTAGGGAAGTTGTAAATATAYATTATTATAAAGATGTTTGGTCTTCGAGCTCTTTATTGGATTGTTTTAAGTTATGKTGTCACTGTTTTGGAAGCAACACTGAGTAAGTATAGAATTATTGCAATTTCGTTTGTTTACAATTGAGTCTCCATAGGAAAGTAGATTTAAATACCGATTTATGTTGCCTAATCGAGGGTATTTTATATGTATTGTATATATTTCAAATAAGGGTAGAATATATTGCTCAGATATTGATTTAATTGAAACATTAGTTACAATTAAGTCAGTGAAATTAGCATGATCAGAAATGGATATTACGTTAAACAGATCAAGGAAGGAAGTGTTGTTATTTGATATGTTGGTTGCTTTAAACAAAASTTTAAGTGGCCCAGAATTTTCAAAATTAGCCTCCGGTACTACCTTAAACACAAATAAGATTTCCTTACCTTATTAATAAAACTATTTTTGAAACAGAGTATTTGAAATTTTTTTTCTGAGATTCTTAGAATGTTAATTGCATTTTTGTAAAGTAAATACAATTATAGGGAATAATAAGACTTAATTTATAGTTTCTTTTACTTCCCTATAAATGATAAAGTACAATCTGTACTTTATTACCTCAGGTTTATAATATATTAATTRTATATTTATAGCGTTCACAATCCAGCCATCAGATTTAGTATATGCTCCAGGACAAAAGGTGATGCTTAACTGCCAGGCMTCTGACAGTAAAGGTCGATCAGTTTTGATTAACTGGAAAAGGAACAATACATGGTTAATTGACYCAACRAACAAACCCTGGAAATTTCTTCGTAACAACTCRCTGTATTTCCAAAGCATCTCAGAACAAGATGGTGGTAGGTTTATTTGCGGGGCATCAATTCCAGGCACTAGTGAGACGATTTACAGTGCAGTAGCCAATGTCCRGTCAGCTTGTAAGTATATATATTACTATTTTCACTTATTAAGAACTATTCATTTGAAATCTTATAATGCTAATAATCACTCTTCTGTTATTTCCAGACACTAGTGGTCTCTTCAGTTCAACACCATTAAACCATACCAAAAGAGTTGGTGATGCCAGTACMTACTTCACTTGTGTTACTGGAAATAGTCTTCCGTTTGCAAATGTTTACTGGGAAAAAAATGGGAACAACCTGTCAAGTGTTAATGTTGTCAATCAACAGATTTCTACGTCGACACCTGAAGTCAAATTRACATCATCAAGTCTGACCATCAAAAACATAGATCTGTCCAGTGCAGGATTCTATCGATGTGTTGCTGTCAATAGCTTTGTGCCGTCTATAGTGAGAAGGAGTAAAGGCGGCTATTTGAATGTATTACGTAAGTGTCATACTGATTTTGTTAATGCAAAGACACACRACTACTTTATGATTTATYAACACTCAATCMTTTGTGATTTCCAATTTTTAGCAAAAGAAGACAAACCTCACTTCCTGGTACAYCCCACAAACCTGGTGGCAACAGAGCACAAACCAGCAATCCTGCAATGTGCAATACTTGGTGTCCCTCAACCTACTGTTACTTGGATGTACAATGGACARTCACTAATCACATCACCAGCAAGACAAATCCTTAACAACGGGTCTTTGTACTTTCCGTCAGTCAACAGGACTTTTACTGGMCAATATAAGTGTAAAGGGACAAACAAAGTTGGGTCAATTGAMAGCTCAGATGTCTTGTTTAGTGTAGCATGTAAGTTTACATGTAATTCATTTTTTTCTGGAAATTCCCAGAACCATCTAGGAATATTATACTAGGATCTTTTCCAGGAAGTGGTAGGACACTGTTGTGTGTGGCACTAAATAAAATACATCATGATAGATGTGCAAAAATCAAAAAAATCTTCGAACCCTTATGCTTTTTCTATCAGTGGGCGTTTTAGCCAGCTTGCTGTTTCTCCTCTGTTTGACAAAGGAAGCCCAAATTAGGCAGTTATCCTGCTATAGTGCGTCTAATGGTACTATGTGATAATTATTATTAATGATTATAATTATCAGGGTTTGTGCAAAATTTTCACTACAAAATTCAAGGACTTTTCAAGTACTTTTTGAGCACAAAAATGCGATTTTCAAGGACTATTTGTGAAGATATTTTTTGATGTTTGCGAATGTTTCCAGCGGCGATTTTCAAAAATAACCGCCGAGGATTCAAGGAGTTTTCCAGGAGTTTTAGCGAATTTTCCCATTTTCAAGGTAGGGCTTTTCAAGCGCCCTTGAAAAGACGAGTTTTCAATTCCAGGAGTTTTCAAGGATTTCAAGGAGTAGCGCGAACCCTGAATTATTTAATAATATATTAAAGTTGTACTTGACTTATTCCTAGTTTTTGATTTCCAATTCTTCGAGCAACCTGCAAGCCAGAACGTCACCATGGGAACGCAAGTGACACTGCGTTGCAGACCACCCACAAGTTATCCTGTTGATATTACCATTAACTGGTTCAAAAATTACCAGGAAATCCAGCCCAGTTCTGSYATAACCATTACTAGTTCGGGATCATTGGTGTTTAGTGCAATCAAGAAAACTGACGAAGGGGAATATTTTTGTAATGGTGAAAACAAGGTCTTGAAAGCTGCAAGAACGTCTAACATTGCGACAATAACAGTGTGGGGTGAGTTATAAAGTAGCATGTAAGTCATGAGAATATATGCTGGTCAAATATACTATGGCCAATATAGCCAAATGCCTACGACTCTAAGAATGACGCTTTTGCACCCTTGCCAAGTAGAAGCTCTAGAATCACATGTACGTATCGGTGTTTCGCTTTCCGCAACGTCTTTCTTGCACTGTAGCTTAATWAAATTTCAATTGAAAGAGCGATGTATCTTTAAGAGAATCTGACACCATTAGATAAGTCTGGTGTAACCCTAACCCATTTGTTTCCAAATCGGTTTAAAGTAGCTTCGATGCGGATGATGACAATGATGATGATGATTGCAATAGTCATGATGGTATTTGCGTCAATAATATTTTTTACCGATGGTAACATTAGTCTACATGATAATGATATCAAATTTTCTGCTCGTTTCTGTTACAGTTCCCCCAACGTTCAGTAAACCTCCCAAAGATACCGCTGTAATACAGTACCATGTGCTAACTCTTCATTGTGAGGMCACAGGGTTCCCAACGCCATCAGTTTCATGGCTCAAAGATGGTGGTGCCCTAAATAGCAGTCATGTGACTTTATTAGCCAATAAAAGCTTAGTGATTCAACGTGCGACGGTGAGGGATGCTGGGAACTATTCTTGTATTGCTACCAACATAGCAGGTCGAGCCGTCAGCTTCGCTAGTGTTGATATATATGGTAAGCAATACTGCGTAACAGTGTGAGTCAAAATACCGCGGACAGACAGACAAACAAACACAGGCATCTTTGTTAACAGACTCGTCCCCAGTGCCTACTCTTTCTTTTTTGAACTCTTCGTTTGATTTGCTGCGCGCCGCTTATCATTACATTTCAGTTCCACCTTCCGTTTCCTCGAATCCTTCCGACGCTGTTTCTGTTCTTGGACAACCAATCAGGTTCCAGTGCGGTTTCCAAGGCAACCCTGCACCACGTATAGAATGGTATCATGGCAGCAACTCCAAATTTAAACCCGTGYCCTCCACTCCTAAGTACAACACGACTGGGGGTACCCTTAGGATAACGGCAGTCAGCATTGAAGATGAAGGGACGTTCCTTTGTAAGGGGATTAATGTTGCTGGTACTGCAAATGCCTCTGCATATCTGAATGTGCAAGGTTAGAAACTCATGCATTTTGTAGTTTAGTACCATCTGGACTTGACATGATCGTAAGATTTATTAGATTTATTCTCCCGTACAGTCCGCCCATACTCGACTTTACTGTTCCTCAAATTAACTTGTATTGTTGTTTAATTCACTCAGTACCAGTTTCCTTGGATGCCGGTCCAGTGAACATAACTGTCAACCAGTCCTCCTCGGCATCTTTTAAATGCGTGGCCTCGGGCGACCCAAAGCCGAACATCACGTGGTTCAAGGGAGTCGTTTTGTTAAGAAATGGAGGGCGCATCGTTATTACAGAGGAAACTCTATCAATAACCAGAACTAATGCAAGTGATGCAGGAGAATATAGGTGTCACGTGACCAATGGGCTTGCTACGCATGTTGGGAAAGCACATCTGRTGGTACAAGGTAAAGTTTGAAGCAATTTCATGATCTTGAGCGTTTCYCCATTTTCCGTATTAATTACACTTATCCGATTTTTTTAGTTGTGCCAACCATTGTAAACTTTGACGTACMTTCCTTTGCACCACTCGGAGGCAGCAAACTGATGACCTGTCAATCAAGCGGCATACCACATCCGCAGATCACGTGGTTTAAGGATAATAATGYCATAACAGGGTCACGTTTCACTTTGTTTGCTAACGGCTCGTTGAGGATTGTGGGGTTTTTGAGGGGCGATGGAGGAGTTTACTTGTGCAAGGCATCTAATCCTGCAGGATTTACAACAAGCAATAAAACACTTACAATACAAGGTTAGTTTTGTAGCAAAAAGTATTTATTTTACCGCACGCATGTCGAGATTTTCCGTATTTTCTTCTGGGTTGAATTCATTGATTAAAAATCTTTGCACTTACAGTTCCACCAGAGGCACCACTACAGCTATCAGTCAATTCTCTATCATCAACGTCAATCAAGTTGTCATGGCAACCAGGGTTCAATGGCAACGCCCCAATTACAAGTTACAAGATCGATATGAAAAAGAATGGGCAATTAGTTTTCACAGAGGTAGAACCCAGTCTTAATGGCCGTGAGTTGGTCGTACGTCATCTCTTGCCCTACACCAAGTATACTTTCAAAGTATCAGCGAGAAATTTTGTTGGTTTGGGGAACAGTACTGAAGCCTCGAATACCACTTTGGAAGATGGTAAGCGATTTGTAAGATTACATCACCTCTTTGCTTAGTGCACCCTTTTTCTAGCCTCCTCAGCAGTCTACCCTTATTTCGACTTTTGGAGATCCCTCTTGTATTGAGGAAGACAGGTAGGCCAAGAGTAGAGACAAGGGTGCGAAGGAAGAGAGAAGGCTACGTATGACGCGCGCTCTTAAAAGTMGAATAACAAAGCTCAAGAAGAAAGGAGAACGTCAGTAAATTTAGGGTTGATAAAGATTACTTTGTCCAGCTGATTACTCGTTGGCGATGTATTTTACCATCACGTGACTTCAACGTTGCTAGAACTAATGATTCTGTAAGGTTTCTGAATGTTTTTTTTAATCAAAATTTATAGCTCCATCACAGCCACAAAACGTTCARCTCAGCCCAGTAAATTCTACTGCAATTGAAATCAGGTGGTCAGCGCCTTCCCATCCAAACGGTATCATCAGACGTTACGAGATTGTTTACCAGTCCCTTCCAAGTGGTTCGGTTCTGAAACAAGTGGTACTGGGTTCTAGTCAACTAAATGTTGTAGTGACCAGTCTTCTGCCGTTCACCGAATACGCGGCAARAATCAGAGCTTTTACTGTTGTGTGGGGGAATTTTTCCAAAGATGTGATACAGAGAACAGCTGAAACAGGTTAGTCTTAGGAAATATATGATATCAGTTTAAGTTTCGTTGGTATTCATACACCATTTACAGTTGTAAGAGATAATGTCGATGGTAATGTTTTTTTTCAGCACCTAAAGTAACTCCTCACAATGTAAAGTGCCGTGCAGTTAGCTCAACGTCTGTGTTGGTCACTTGGGAGGTAAGCGAATTGTCTTCCCTTCTTTCCAACCTCCTTTCATTAGTATTTCTCACTCCTTTCTTTATTTCTTCTTTCAATTTCTCACATTTTTTCGAATATTATTCAATTCATCCATCGTAGAATCCTGTAATTCTTCCTTCCTATCGCATTTCCATCCATTGCTGCTCTTTTTTTCTTCTTCTCAACTCATCGCATCTGTCTTCCTCTGAACGTCCTTCCTTCGTCCTTGTGCTGCCACGGAGGCCTCTTTCTCAGAATAAGAGGAAATTACAATAACAAAGATTTTCATGTTTTTTAGCTGGTCCCAGTTAATGCTTCGAATGGAATAATAAGAGGATATCAAGTCCTATACCGTGCCATAACTCACAATGAYGTCACGAAGAGGATCGTGAGCAACCGAACAAGTAATTTCACAATCCAAGGATTATATCCATGGACGTTTTACAACATCTCAGTTCAGGCATTCACGGTCGATTTTGGACCAGTTAGCGAATGGAAGACTGTGCGAACACACGAAGCAGGTAAAATACTATATTTGAACTAGTTGAATTGTGTGACGAGCGTGACCAGTTAACGCAAAATCCTATTTCAGTGACTGTTTTGTACTTTCAGTTTTCGCAATATAAATTAAAATATACTTCCTAGCGATGCAACAATATGTGATTACGGTGATTATATTCTTATTACTGCTATCATGAATCATAATAAGAATTTTTTTAATCTTTACTCTTGCTATTGTCAAGATATACATGCATTGTGTATCATTGATGATGATATTCTCAATCTGTCACAGTTTTGTCAAAGTTCACAATGTTATTAATATTYATTAGCTCCTTCTGCCGCACCTAACGTMACTCTGACGTCACCAAATGAATCAAGTATCCTAGCAACCATAGCCCCGCCTCCAGTAAACATGCGCAATGGCATCGTCATTGGCTACAACGTGTCGTACAAAGCATCCAACTCATTGAACGTTGTTCACGTGTTTGCTTCATCCAATCACACTGYAGTGGTGTTGCTAAGCAACCTTGATGTTTATACATACTACACGGTTACTGTTGCCGCGGCAACGAAAGCTGGAGCTGGACCGATGAGTAAAGAAATGAAGTTACGAACGCAGGAAGGAGGTATAAAGCTAATGTAAACACTTCTCAGATATTTATGCAATGATTCTTATAAATATTTCTTTCTTTCTAGTTCCTAATGAGGTTAACATAGTCTCCCTTRAATTATCYGAACAAAAAGYCAACACTGTTGAGATCAAGTGGTCAGCGCCACGCCCAGTCAGGGGGGAGATAGTACAYTAYAAAATATCCTATAATCAATCTAGTGGAGACCAGGCYTCAGTAACGACAMAAGAAACRTCAATCTCAATACMAGACTTACAGTAYARCTCTACTTACCATATATGGGTAATGGCMAAGACTTCTAAAGGATATGGAATGCCGGGAAATATTGAGAAGATAACAACAGGTATATTGGTCTCCTACGCAGCCGTCATCAGTGACATGCCGCGCTTTCTTGCCTGAATTATAGGAATGCTTACCCGAGCAAAGAATTCATTTTATATCAATTTAAAACGACGTTCATTCAAACGTCAGCTATTGACTGCTTATTAGTTAATTTTAAACAATAATAAATCGATAATTTCAYKTTTCAAATACCTAGGTCCCAARCCAACAGTCCCACCTACCACAGGGAGACCAACTACCACAGTTACAAACTCCACAGAACCAGTGGTWAAAATCACTTCCGGGGAGAGATCTGGGATCTACTTGAGCGAACAAAATATGATGATTATCGGGATCTGCGCWGGCGTTGTTTTCCTAATTCTTTTGATCCTTGTTATTTACTGTGGATGCACTCAATTAAGAAGRGATAARCGAAGTGGTAAGYAATGAACTTCACAGCCATGTGGGATACGCACAGGGGAAATATATGGAGAGCATACGTAATGAGTATATGACTCTAATAGTTTAACCATGGATAAGCTAGTATATGAGCATGGGTTATGTTTAAATGATTTACGATATGCAATCTAGGCAAGTTTCTCGGCGCTGGCAAAGCGAAACCAAGGCTTGTGTTGTAAAATTTTATCGTATATCATATACAAGTTGTGAAAACTTTGTATTTGTGACTTGTTCTTAGATCACATGAAAGCAAGAAAGACCGGATCACTAGGCTTAGATGTTCATGAACTAAGGGGGTAAGCAGTCAATTTAGAGCCATAACGTTGTATGATATATGGATTTATAGGGATATTTTTAGGGGCTATGAAAGTGCCTGGGCTACAATCATGCTTTTTTGTACGCTAAACACGTGAAAGATCGATTTATGATAATCATTGGTATTATAGTTATGTGAAGGGTACGATATGAAAGAACTGAAAACTCAAATGAATGGTAGCCTGCGCTACATCCGGTTTGCCAAAACCGGATTAAAGGCAGGCTAAATGAATGGGAAAATTGTTAAAAAATAATCAAACAGTCACTAAACTAAATCGATGGATAAAAKTAATGAATATTTTAACGCAGTCAGAGAAACAAAAGCATTGCACGCAGGCTCGTAGCACCCCCCCCCCCTTCCAACTTCGTGACGTCACACTGGGTAGCCTGGAGCACCACTCCCCCAATTCGTGACGTCACACTGGGAAGACTGGGTACTAGGCTGTCAGACTATTGTACCAACGTAACCATAACCTATTATAAAAACTTTCATAAACTAATTCAAATTAACACCACAAATATAACTATATTTATGTAAAGGATTGATGAAGACGTCACTTATAACCAACTCGTAAGCAATCTCTCCATTGAAAATATTCCATAATCAAAGGTAAAAATAACTGCTTTTAATCATGTAAAAAAMCCCAGCAAAATTAATTAAACGTTTCTGTTGGACTTGTAAGGAAAAATTTAGGACATAACAAAGGCTTAACTTTTATTTGTATTGCCAGACTTTTATATGTTGCACAGTGGTTTTCGTAAACCGGTGGAGCAAAGAGTTATAACTATATAGTGCAATAAAGTTTATAAACACAGGAAAGTTAGATAAAAGCGTGAACAGTAACGAATAATAAAATGTAGTACAATAAATTGTATTTCACGGGTTTTTGAAACTTCATCATATTTTCTAGTTGTCATTCTAATAGTCTTCTTCACAGTTCCTTGCGCCATTCTTGAAAGGTAGCCGTGCCTTTACATCCAAGCGAGACGACCATTGAGCGTGCAATGATAGATAACTCTTGTTCACACCTACAGACAATTCTTCACAGATATCTATCATTGCACACTCAACGGTCGTCTCGCTTCGTTGTAAAGGCACGGCTACCTTTCAAGATGGTGCACGTAACCGTGAAGGAGACTGTTATTCAGTTGTTTCTTTTTGTTAATCTATTTTGATAGCTTTTTCCGACTGACCAGCAAAATTTGTTATACGAATTTTTCAGAGTATCTCCWGACAGGAGACCAGTCCTCGACGTTCAAGAAGAGACGAGCGTAAACTCGGCTGACTCTTTTGAAGATTACTCCGATTTCAACAGCTCCATAACGGGAATTGCATCGGAACAAACAGGCTCAGAACCAATCTCCAAAAAGGTATCATCCCCATCACAGCCTTCGTCTGAGGTGACTGGGATCCAGCCTCCTCCTCAGCCGTCAGTCAAACGCGTGGAGTCMAAGGAACAGAAGAATGGCCGTCCGCACCTGTCAAAGAATCACCTCAGTAAATTAAAAAACAAGAAACTTTCTCTTGGTTCTAATGATAGCTTTTATGATCAGCCGTACTCCAGTGTCGATGAACTGGGGACTGGATTCTCAAGCTTCACACCCCCACCCCCTGAAGATTTCAGAAATGAAAACTCCAGCCCTTCAAGCAATGACACTCCCAGGGAAACCCCCAGAGAATTTTCTAATGAGTTATACAATCCAGTATTAGAACATCCCAATGAAGTGAAACCGCAACCTATTTATTCCGAATACGCCGAACCGGAAGTTCTGTTTAATCCAAGACCTGCTGTGGAAGAGGACGTCATTGAACCGGAAGTCMTTACACCTCCACCGGAAGCGTTTATGTCAGACTTTGAAGGCATCCAGAACGAAGGGTATAATACAGACGAAGAGCTTGATAACTACCTGGGACAAGAACAATCAAAAAAACAAAGCGAAGCATATCCGTCATCAAAATCACATGCGTCATCACAGTCTCTTGCGTCATCACAGTCTCCTACGTCATCACAGTCTCCTACGTCATCAAGAAGTCAAAGTGCTAGTCCACCAATTTACGCCACGGTCGATAAATCCAAGAAGAAGAAGAAGAAGAAGAAAGAAGAAACCGATCACGATCCAGTTGTAGTTTATGACGAACGTACAAACTTGTGAACACGATTAGTTTTACTTGACTATAAATAAGGACTCGTGTCACAATTTCCATGCAGCTTTTAGCAATTGAACAACAACAACTTACTGAAAATACTGTACTTGTAAGTCGTAGGGAGCATTTGCACTAGGAAAACGTGCTCAAAAAACACCTACAAATAACGATTTTTAATAAAACACCAAAACGGACAAAAATACTTAACGTTTTATCAAAATGAATAATAGACTATGCATGGTCATGGGTTTCATAGCCAACGAAAATGGCTAAAAACAGTCTATTTTTAATAAAAATACATATCCTATAATTTAAAAAAACGATTTGTATAATAGTGTGGTCAGAAGGATGGAAGGTGATTTTTGATCAAAATGCATGGACTATAGCCCACCAAAATGGCCAAAAATGACCGATTTTT